GTTTCAAATCAACTATGATCTGATCTTATAGATTCAAAGGACAACCACTCAAGCTCTGATACCAATTGTGAGCACTAGAATCAATGCGCAAGGACATGGTTTGAAAACTCGGACCTTGAGTTAATCTTTAAGATCAATGTCTGCTCTTAATTAAAGGTTCCAGTCGAGTCTGGTAATACCAGTCAAGACATGAATGAAATATTCAACAAAGTACTCAAAATTAAATGAAGTAAACTATGAGTATAATCAATGTAAAGACATTTAATGAACAATAAGAATGTTATGAAAGATCTTGACTTGAGAGAAAAGTGAAAGAGAATTAAAGAGAATATTTTCTATCTTTGGAGTAACAATCCATATCTTGTCATTCAAAACACTCCTTAAATAGACTAAGGAGGTACATCATACAGACTTGGAAACATTCATGGGACTGGTTAATAATCAGTCACTAACAACTGATTATCTAAAAGATATAAATAGATAAGTCCTATGAAGTGTTACATCATTAATAAGACAAGAAACATTAAATGTCCAAACAGATAGCTAATCTCAGATCTTCACTTCATCTCGGAATGATCTCCATCTCGTACTCCATCTCTATCTCGGACTTCACCAATCTTGGAAACTGCTGACTTCGGATCTTCATTCTTGTGATTATTAGAGGTTCACTTTTCATGTTTCAACAACGTCGCAGTGTTAAGATTGCTGAAGATTTGAATAATATGTTGAGTGATTGAAGAGAAGACCTACAATAGTATTCAGGATCATTATATCTTTACGTTATAACATATGTTGTGTATCGATTATGAAATCCTTAGATTTTTTATTATTTTGAGACAATCATTTATACTAAAAATGTTTTAATGTACTGGGATTTTCCGCAAATAAAGATCTTATGAATTTTAAAAGCGTAAATAAATTTTTTTTCGGTTCTAGGAAAGAGGGGATGTGACAGTTGGTATCAGAGCATTAGTTTAAGCGAACTAGGAAATGTGAGGATTTCTAGACTTAAAATTAGATTGCTAAGTGATGATGGCAAGATGTGTTTCAAGTATATTGTAGGATATATACCTAAATTGACACAAACACTAGAATACTTTAGGGTGTATACCTTAATAACTATTATGTGCTGATGAGATTTATTTTATAGTATGCCCTAGGTTGAATACCTTAGTTGTTATGATGTGCACTAGCATACTTTAGGAGAGATGTCTTATATGTTAATATGTGCTAAATGATGAATAATATAACATGCCTTAGGTTGCTTACCTAGATTGCTATTACTTGAAGAGATTTAAGGTTTGTTGCCATCCTACGATTTGGAAAATTTATGTGTAGAGATTCTAAACATATACTTATTGTATTAGAACTGGCATATAAATTTTCTATGGAATAAGAAGACTTACAATAGTTAACATCGATAACTTCGTAAATAATACTTATAGAGTAGTATCATGCTTTAGAGTGTGTTTGATGGAACAATAGTACGTTTGGAGGAGTATTGTACATGTAAAGTACATTTTCAAATGGCGAAATGATAGAACTTTAGCGTGATCCATGAAGTCGTCCCACCGCTTGGTGTTTCCATTGCCGACCAGATTGAAGCAGTGATTGCTTACGAATTCAGAATAAGAACTGAAGATTGTGATGAATACTTCGACGATATCAAAGTTGAAGTTATAAAGAATTCATAAGAATTCGATAAAGATGAAAGGAAAGGCTAGTAGAGTTTTTAGACTCATTAGGCCGAGACTTTGTCTATCGATGTGATATAGTGTGCAGTTCGAGTGATGTGTTAAGTGATAATATGTACCTTATACAAGATGCTCTGACCTAGTATTTAATAATATCGAGTGATTTTACTTCTATCACATCTTTACGAGAGTTCTTTAATATGTTAATTCGACTTTTACATACAAGATTGGGATGGTGAAAATAGTCGTTGTTTGGCGAAATGCTTAGTAACTTACTTATTTAGTAAGTTAGAGTACTTAACAGGAGTAGAAATACATCCAAATTCTTGCATGATGAAGGATATTGGTGTGAGGAATGACAAAGGACCAAGTTGAAGATAATGGAATGTGTTGAAATGCAGACTTCTTAGGATTGACTCCTTTGAAGTAGATGAGAAAGACATGCGACAGAGAAGCAGGCTTTTTAGAATTGACTCCTATAAAGTAATTGATAATGAAGTGAAGATATAGAACGATATGCATGTTGACTTGCATGATTCAGAAGATAGTAAAAGTAGTTAGAGAGCGTTTGTCTCCATTGCACCAGAGTAAATTCATATGTAATTTGTCATGCTAACTGGACACTGGAAGAAATCTATACAAAGAATTTGGATGTAGAATTGTTGTTTATTACACGATCAAGGCTTTATGAATCCCTATCATATAAGCCTTAGAGGATTTTTGTAAAAATTAGAAGTGTTGATAAGTGAGTATAGTATTTTTGGTGATTATGTGCAATTATGCCACCAAACAAATATTGATGAAAAAATACGGCTATATTCTATCATAGATGACTTATTATTTGAATACGATCAAGTAGAGGAGAATAACATGTTGTTGTTAAGATAATATTCTAGTAGAGGCGTTCCTAAAGCTCTTTGATGTTTATTATTGATGCTAAAATAAAGGAGCACAGAGTTAGAATATGCTAGATCAGGCATACGTGTGAAGGAGATCCTAGTGGAGTCTAGGAAAGTTTTATTGCATGTGCTCATTTGGGCACATACATTTTTGTGATTTTCTTTATGAAATTTTCTTTTATGGTGACTTGGGAACTGCGACACAATTATTGGGACAAGTATGCGTATGTGTGGAAGGTAGTAAAGGGTTGTACTACCGGAAGCATATGATCCATACTTAGATCAGGAATAGTCACAAGATTAATATGGCACTGGTAGTTGAGTTTGTTTTGTCTGTTTTCATCATTACTTGCGTTATGGTGATGACTAGGAAAATTATTTTGGTTCAGACTCTAGTATGTCATGAAGAATCGAGTCCGAGTAATATAGATCTGCATAAATGAGTTGATCGGTTCTGAGAACCTCGTTCGATGTAGTAACCGACTGTAGTCATGAAATTTAAGGAGCAGAAGTCTCCAATAAAAGTTGATTTTGTAACTCAAGAGTTAGAAGGTTCATTGGTGGACGAAAGAACAAATGCAGGTTCAAGAACCACCTTTGGCGAGTAAGTTCAACTTATTTGATTCTCGCTCAGAAGAATAAAAGAGTTGTAGCCGTTGTAGCTTATATGTGAAGTTGCAAGTGTTTTTTTTTTTTTTTTTGTGATTGTACCCAAATGTTTCGGATATGATCAGAATGATCATTACAAAAAGGGTCACTTAGAGCATGACAAGGTTGAGTGTCCCAGAGAAGAGGGGAAATTGTATTAAGATCAACAATTCTCGTTGTTGCTAGTGTTGTGTACATTAAATTAATAAGTTGTGCACAATATTTTAGACTTATGGAAGACCACTAGCATTAAATTAATAAAAAGAAAGGCTAGGCACTCCATCTCTTTCTCTCTCTTGATGGGTGTCCATATCTAGTCAAGATATGGGTTAGTTGATTGCTTTTAACTTACTCTTACATATCGTAGATTACTTGCAAGTCATGAAGTCAATTAATGAAAGCATGGGCTTTCATTTGCATGTGTAAGTATATAAGAAAGAGAGAACACCAAAGCTAGTTTAATCCTTCCTTTCTTTTTCATACAAAAGTCGAGAGCTCCTTAAGCTCCCCTCTCCTTTCTCTAGCAAATCGGTTGTGTAGTTTTGGGTGTTCTAGTTGCTTCTTATCTAAAAACTAGTTTAGTATAAGTTTTTGAGGTTTAAGAACAACTACATACAAGTGAAGAACTAGTATCTAATAGTGGTTGGGTGACTTGTTGGTGGATACATGTAGAGAGATTCTACTTTGGATCTTTGTCGTCTTCATTAACATTCAAGCCTCTCGTTGAGGACTCAAATGACTACAAAGGTTGTTAATCTTTTAACCCCTCTATGGTTGTTGTTTTCTATCCAATCTTTACAAGTAGATCCTTTAGTGGGTATAAAACTAGTTTATGTTGTTCGAATTTTAAAGTCTTTTGTTGTTAATCTTGTGTTTTAGAAACAAGTTTTTGAATAAAATCCCAACTAACTATATCATCATAGTCCGCAGCAAAAACAATGATGTTACCGGAAGTTGCAAAAAGTTCATTGTGAAAAGAAATTAGATTTGATGCAACCCCCGCCCCCTTGTAGTTTACGTCTACGGTCAACAATAAACATAAGACGAAGATGTCGATGTCATTGATTAGGTTACAAAAACCACAAACATGAAAAAGCTGAAAGAAATTTAACTTGACATACCCTAAACATAAACTTAAATCTTTCATTTGTTGTTAATCGCGATGTCATGCATAACTTTTATTTGTCACTTCACCATTCTTCAATCGTCACAATGACAACATCTTATAAACTTGGTAATAGTTTAATGAGTTATTTTTGGGGTGGGGGAATATTAAAACTTAGAATTTGTCAAAACAACATTGTTTTGTTTTGTCACCGGTCAACTATGCACCATGTGTACGCCCAAACAACAATGCCAACTAAGTGTTGTACCAGTTGCTAAGGTTATAGTTGGGCAGAAGAGTAAAAAGTGAACGGAAATTCCTCATTTTAGAGACCCTAAGTGCCAATGTTTCAAAAGTCGCTAGGTGCTAATTGGCTAGTCAACTAGCGACTAGGGGTTAGTCACATTACCTAAATTGTAAAGCATAATCTTGGGAAAATCATATATGACAATATCATTGCAAAATAAGTAAATAATTATGAGAGGATGACATAATCAGGTATATTTTGGATATAAGGAGTGTTGTAAGTCATACAAACTCAAAATTCTCTTTCAGAACCCTTATATCTATCACTTGACAATTGGGTTGAATTTATAACTAATGGTTAATTTTGGTAACTAGCTACTTAAGCTTTACATCTTTTGATATATTACTCTAAAACAAAACTTCATCCATGTTCATATGACCAACAAGAACAGATAAACATTCATACACCTTTCCTCCTTGAGGGATCGATTTGTCTTCCACCAAAAAAGCTTCAATCTTTTTATCAACTTCAATCCAAGCACACCCAGGATTCTTTCTCAATCCAAGCTCTTTCATCTTCATCCTCACTTTTCTTGCCTTATCCCATTTCTTGGTTGAAGCATACATGTTAGCTAACACAGTATACGTTGATGGATCATCAGGATCTTTATCAATAAGCAAACCCGCAATTTTCTCACCCAATTCTATCTCCCCATGTAACTTACATGCTGAAAACAATGTGCTCAAAAGTTCAACATCCTCTCTAATGCTTTCAGTCTTTTGTAGAATAGCATAAGCATCATGTACTCTTCCACCACGACAAAGAAGATCCATTAGGCATGAGTAATCTGCAACTTTTGGTTGAATCCCATAATCATTAACCATTTGGTTGAAGTAATAACACCCCTTATCAATTAATCCTCCATGGCTACAAGCCGAAATCACTGCTAAAAACACAACTCTATCTGGTTTTATATTCATTTTCTTCATATCTTGGAAGAGTTTTAGTGATTTAAAAGCTTGCCCATGTGCCCCATAAGCTGTTATCATAGTAGTCCAAGAAACAAGATCTCTCTCAGGTAATCGACTAAAAACTTGTTGAGCTATTTCCACTTCTCCACATTTAGCATACATATCAAGAACAGCTCCCATAACCATTTCATTTGATTCAAAGTCGTGTGAAATGATAGACTTATGAATATCCTTACCGATTTCTAGTGATCCAAGCTGTGTACATGCTGCTAATATGCTTGTAAATGTGATCACATCGGGTTTCACTTGGGTTGTATTCATGTCTTTATAGATGTCAAGAGCTTGAAGATACAAGCCTACGGATACGTATCCGGAAATCATTGAGTTCCATTCTACTACATTTGTTTTTGCCATTTTCTTGAAGATGGATTCAGCTGATTGAGTGTTGTTACATTTGAAGTACATGTCAACAAGTGAGGTGTGAATAAAGGTATCGGGGTTTATGTTGTTTCGTGTTATGTAGCCATGGATGAACTTACCATGTTTTAAGTTTGAGGATTTGGAACAAGCGATTAGTGAACTGCTTAGAGTTGTTGAATTTGGTTTAGTTTGTTGTATGATCATCTTCCATAGAAGTTGAATGCAAGATTTGCTATCACCTTTTAAGCTATATCCTGCAATCATGGAGTTCCAAGAAACCAGATTCTTGAAAGGGATTTGGTTGAAAACTTGTAGAGCCATATCTAAAGAACCACATTTACCATACATATCGATCAGAGCAGCTTGAACGAAAGCATCGGATCCAAAACCGTTTCTCATGGCTTCCGTATGAATCTCCTTACCTGTTTCAAGATTCAAAAGCTTAGAACAAGCGGATATTGCTGTTGTGAATGATACAGAATCAGGTTCATACCCATGATCATTTTTCATCTTTTTAAACAAGTCCAATGCTTTCTCATACTGCCCATCACGATGATAACAAGAGATCACGGTATTCCAACAAGCGACATCTCTCTCAGGCATTTCATCGAACACTTGGACTGCTAACCGAAACATACCACATTTTGCATACATACCAAGCAAAGAACTAGTAACAACAACATCAGCCACAAACCCGTTTTTAACCAAATGCGTATGGATCGTTCTACCGAAGTTCGCAAACCCCAGTCCACTACAGGCCTTTAATACACTTGGGTATGTGTAACTATCAGGTTTCAAGAGAGTGAAATGCATGAGCTTTTCGAAGACTTGAAGAGCTTCATCGAACATGAAATTCTTTGTGTAATTTGAAATTAAACTGTTCCATAATGTGATATCTGCAGGGTTTTCAATAGATTGAAAAACTAGCCTAGCAGATTGGAATAATTGGCAAGAGAAGAAGAGACTAATGAGGTTTTTGCATATTGCAATGTTCTTCTGTTGGCCGGAGGTGATTACTTTTTGGTGAACGAGTTTGGCATGTTTAATTGATTTTGATTCAGCGACATTTCTTATGAGAGGTATTAACTTTGTAGCATCCATTCGTATCTACGAATGGGGAGCACGCCCCCCCGATCTCAAGGTTTAAACTATGGGGATCTTTAATGGTGGACGAAAGCGGTGTTTTATAGATAACCATATCTGAAAGGTTTATTCAATCACATCCTCCCTAATAAATGTCAATCTCTCGTTAACTTGGACACATGTTATTTTTTGGTATTTTTGAATAAATGTTTTTACCATTTGTCATTTTCTCATTTTTTTAATTTTTTCTTAATTAACACATCATATTTACACCTCAATTAATAATTTCCTTGATTAAAAATAACCAATAAATTACAATTTACTACTCATATAGTATTTAATATGTTTCCTTTTAAATTCAAATTTTAAATTTTAAATTTCAAATCTAAACAAATTTTTGTTTAACCTTTTATATTTAATTTTTTTGTTTTATCCAACCCGTATAACATACGGGTCTTACAACTAGTAAATGAATAAAAGACAAAATTATTAAAAGTCACAACTTTAATTCTTACTAATTTTTATTTTTTTTATGAATATGATTTTTATAATGTGTGATTGGTCCCAAATCATATAAAATAATTTTTATATTCTTATTAATATATTTTACTTTTTTATTTAACTGCAATTTGTTTTAATTAAATAAAAAAAATCACCCTCACCCTACCATTCATCTCCATCCCCTTCGTCTTCCTCACACATTGTTTTCATCATTTTCATTGTCATAGTCTTCATGAACAATCACCACCCACCTCAGTACCTCATCTTTGTCGCATTTCATCTTAAGACATGAACAAAGCAAAAATCAGTGTTCAGTGTTTGAATCAACACGTATATCATCGGCCCGATTTGGGTGATAGAGAGAGGGTTAGATGGGGAAATGTCACTTTATGTTCTATATCGATTGATTTGATTGTAAGTTCTTGTTTAATTGTAGGTTTCTGATTTAATTTGAGTGATGTGGTTTCTGTTTCTATTTCTAGGGCATGATCCTTGTGATTTCTTGGGGTGCAATTTCTGGATTGATAAATAAAATACACACACTCAGATGCATCTGTTTCCTCTTTTTGTTTAATTGGATGCAACTACAAAAGTGATGATGATGATCGGAGATGAAGATGTCGACGGTGAACCCTGATGAAGAACATGAGGAAATGGGGTGGAAAATATGTAGTGGCATTTTAAGTCATTTTAGGCTCTAGATTAATAGTAGGTTAGACAATGGTGGTGGGATATAGGGCTGACAATTCTCGACACGACCTGCGACATGACCCGTGACACGACACGAAATAAATGGGTTTGAGTTGAGTATTTCAACCCGCCAACCCGTTTATTAAACGGGTCATATATGGGTTTCTCAAAAAAATAAATGGGTTGACCCGCCAACCCGTTTATATTCTTAATAAAAAAAAATTATTTTATCTTTAAATGTATTTATGTATCAAGTATTAATATTTAATAAGTATTATATAATATATACAATAGATTGATAGACCATTTGACTGTTTTGACATTTTGACTCGTGGTGGATGGCCTAAGGTCGTAAGTCGTAACCTATAAGACTAAGTATGTAACATGGTTCTATGAATGTTTTTAATTTTCATTTGGATGTTTAAGACATAAATGTCTAAAATTCGGATATGTTTGCATCAACCATCAAGAATTTATTCATGTTTAATTGTCAATTTTATTTATGGAATCTGACCCACTAACCCAAATCTGACCCACGAACCCGCCAACCTGTGAACCCGTATAAATAAATGGGTTGGCGGGTCATATATGGGTTTATGTTCCAAACCCGCCAACTCGTGACCCGCCAACCCGCGACACGCCAACCCGAACACGACACGATTACCAGGCCTAGTGGGATAGATGGTGCAGGGATGATGGTCGAAGGATGGAGGAAAGTGACGGTGGTACCAAGGGACCGGGAGTGGTAGTGTTTCCACTCGATTCTGTGGTTTTTGATGGGTTTTGAGCACTACATCATTCTTATGGTGTACATGCAAACCCTAAAGCTTTGGATCTAGTTTGTCTAATGAACATGCAATAATCATCCAAAGCTATAAACCCTAGATCTAGCATGTGATAATCAATATAAACATAAGAATAAGGGTTTAGATATTACCTTGATTGTTATATAGCAATAACAATCTCAATTCCTTCTTGTAATTGACTTCTAAAAGCTTAGAGTCACAAATGTCACTCCTCTAA